TATAATGTTTATGATATATCTTTATTTTGGTTACATTACTTATGTAGCTATCTGTAACCATTTTTTAAACATGGAACTGTTACATACCCTGTCAGCAAGTTCCTTAATTATAGTGTTCCTACACGAACCAACCCGGGCCATAAACGCCGCGATTCGGCTTCTTTGGATGGCATTAAACGTGTTCAGTCTTGCCTCTACAAACATTGTGGAGGCGCTACAGAAAGGTGCTAACCCCATAAGGTGCCTATAGATATTATTGTACTGAACACGAATGCCATCCAAAGACCTCTTCGTATATGCAGTCCAGAGTTGACACGTGTAGAAATTCTGACAGTATGCTCTGAACAGGTGCACTTTAGTCTGTACATTGGCATTAAAAAATCTCCTGGCAATCATATTGCCAACGACTGAGAGTGCTCGACGCTGTCGATCGATATCAGCGTCATCTCTCATGTCTGACGTGAGTATGTGACCAAGGTACTTGAACCTCCCCACCATGTTAACTATCTGTCCTCCTAACCACACCGGAGGCACGTTCTGAGGACCTCTTCCCGACCTGAATACCATCATTTCAGTCTTTTTTGCATTGTATACTAACTCATGCTCTGTAGCATATCTCTCACATATAGCTAGCAGTCTTCTTAAGCCCTTGATCGAGGGGCTGAGCAGGACCATATCATCAGCATAACTTAAGTTGTTGACGTATCTGTCACCAAGTTTGAGCCCTACCGGAGTCCTGCTCAGCTCCCCTATCAGGTCATTGATGTAGAGGTTAAACAGGTCAGGAGAAGTCAACCCCCCCTGTCTAACACCACATGATAGCTTGTAGCTGTCCGACATAGCTGTCCCCCACCTGACACTATTATACTGATTACAGTACCAGTATCTAATCAGTCCAACAACGCCCACCTGAACGTTACTGTTATCTAGTTTCTCCCATAGCAAGTCGTGATTAATAGTGTCGAATGCGCGACTTAGATCCAGGAAACAAGCATAAACACTTGTATCTTGGCTGACGTACTGCGACACGACCTGTTTTAGGGAGAAAATAGCCATGTCCGTTGATACCTCAGAGCGAAATCCAAACTGTCCATCATTTATCTTTAAGGATGGACTCAACTTTTTGTGTATCAACCGTTCAAGTACCTTTGCCACTACCGTTGCCAAGGAAATGGGCCTGTAGTTGGAAATGCTCGAGACATTACCCGTTTTGTTCTTGGTTATCGGTACCACAACTGTACGGATAAGATCAGCAGGCAAGTACATATGTCGCGCACAGAGACTGAAAAAACGAGCTAAAATATCAGCAATATACCGGCCCGCATAAAGTAGATGTTCCAAGCTTAAACCATCATGGCCTGGGGATTTTCCACGCCTCATCCCTCTGAGTACATTGATAACCTCGTCAGAAGTGACGTGGAAAGCTTCCTCCTCTGCCTTATACTGCCTAGAAGACCCCTCGGGCCACGCCCTCCTTGTGGTAGGCCGCGGTATATCAAAATGCATTCGAAATTTGTTTGCAATACCTTTTTTATCAGTTTCACCCTCTACACTGATCGGGGCACTACTCTTAGGGTTCAGTTTTTTAACTTCAGTCCAGAAACTACCGAAATTCCTAGCTGACGCATGTTGGGCCAAAAAGTCCATTTTAATTTTTTCCTGGTTACTCTGTACGTACTTAAGCGCAGCTTTAAAGTCTCTGCGCGCAGTACACATTTGTTCGTAGTAATATCCCGAGCACGGTCTACCATATGTATTCCATTCTATGAATGTACGCCTGGCCAGAACGTGATACTGTCTTACATGGTAGTTCCAACCCACTATATTGCGTTTTTTGGTATCTTTATAGACATATGTACATTCAGCGGCTCTTTGTAATATATTTACTATAGTACTATATATTCTATCAATTATTTCTATATGCTTTTTATCATTACATGAATTAACCTCACACTCCAAATTAACATTATTATTACTATACATTAAACTAAAGTTATCACAACAAATTTCACGATATTTATCACATTGATCCTTATTTCTATAACCCCATCTAAATTTTAAATTGCCGTCAGTTCTAGTATCACTTATCAGTCGTTTGCAACTAATATTATTAAAACTTACCTGTATCACTAAAGGGAAGTGATCGGACAGATAAGCATCATACAACACGTGTACCCCGCTTACCGCTGACTCGGCCGCCGTGGAAACAAGGCAGTGGTCAAGCCAGCGTTGCGAACCTGTCGCGTCACTTACATATGTATATGCATTTACATCTAATCGCTTAACATCTATACATGACAAAAGCTCCTCAGAGCAGTAGTCCAAGAGTTCTTTGTAAAACCTCGTACCAGGGTGCGCATTAAAGTCCCCCAAAACAAAAACACTTTCTACGTCCATACTTTCAATTATTGCACTAATATTAGCTAGACACTGTGACATTTCATAAAAGTTCTCTTCACTATCGGTAGGCATATAAACACTGAATACTAGTAAACTTCGATCATCATGCTCAAGTTTAACCGCAACAATACGATCACTGTTACACTGTACTATTTCCGCACGTGCAAATATTCTGCGGTCCCACAAGAGAGCGACCCCCCCGTACGGCCGCCCACGCACCACTCCTTGTCCCGTGTCGATAGCAGAAATACCATGACTACCGAAATGCTCACTGATTGTAGTTAATATACCAAGATCATGAGGAAACAACCAAGTTTCCTGTAGTGCGATTATGTGTTGGTTAAGACAAAAATGTGTAATTTCTTGTATAGACCTCTTCAACGATCTGCAGTTATATGAAATACAGCTAATTATGTTTGTGTTATCCATATTAATTTATTTGTATTGTCTTACGAGAATTAGTCGGTGCGTAGGGCGCTTGTGGCCTGTCACTGGTTCGATTACGCTCCCAGTACTTCCGGAACACAATATTAGCCGGCCAGAATTGAGTAGCGCTGTCATTCAAGAACAAATCAATATTAATTAAGGGTACAATCACTTTAAAGGCATTGAACTCCTTATTTATATTATTTATCTTGACAACCTGTACATCTAAATTAGTCTTATATTTAATAAATGCCTCAATATCCTTGGAAGTGGTATCTATATGTACTCTAGAAACAAATAAAGGTACTGTTCTATCTGCGGCCTTAAAGTTAAACTGCTCCAGAGGTTGAGCGCTCCCTCTTCTGTTCTGTATTCTAACTAATTTATGACGCTTGTGATGAACCTTGGTCCAACCATCCTTTAGCTTATCGCTACTAGAAGTACCACCACTTTTAACAGCGTCTGCCATTGTGTACTCGGACCTCTCAGCTGTTATCATAACACCTGACGCGCGGGGCGCGGGTCCGGGTACGTCCTGTACGGTACGCGTCGACGCATTCCCCGTGACCTCTGTGCCCGTGCTTCGCGTCGTTTCGTTAGTAGTCGTAGACCGCTCGGGCAGGCGCTCGGCGTTGCGACCACTCCCTCCGCTCTCCACTCCCCCGTTAACCACGTACGGGTCGCGGCCGCACATATTCAATGGTATTGAATTTCGCGCCATTTTATCCGCGCCCGGCGTTATTTCTAACGCCTCATTCATATTACACGATAGATTGTCCATTGTAATAGACACATTTTTCGTTGATTGTTCTAATAATACTTGTGTATCCTTGCGGCCACTATGCAGTAATGTATCTTGAACCAATTTTTTCAGTTGCTGTATTTCACTCTGTAATGATGAAATCTCGACCATTGGCGAATGTGATGCTGTTTCAGACTTTCCGCTACGTATAATGGCAACTTCTTTTTTGAGCAGAGACATTTCCTTCAGGAATGTCGTCACATCTATGTGATCAAATGTAACCGGCGGCAATTTGTTAAGATCTCTTGCCACAAATACCGGTAAACAGTCAGGTTCCGTTTCCTTGATAATCTTCACAATATCCTTCACGCTCTTCTGTTGATTACCGTCTTTTCTTCTAGTAATCTTCCGGGAAGGCGCCAACAAATTGAATACGATTTGCCTGGCATTCTCAATTTCAGATTCAGCAAATGCACTCATACATATTTGTACAATTGCGGTCTCAGCAAGCGTATCCACTTTGTTACAAACAAAGGCTAACAGTTCATTAATCAACACATTACAACCACTACATTTTACGTCCATATCACTGCTGACGCCTCTCTGCGGAGATCGCGCCATATTACCGCGCACGCACGTGTCCTCAAAAAACGACACACCTGCGCGACACACCTGCGCGGACTATTGTAACCTATGTGCGCCAATTTTTTTTGTTGACGGGGTGGAAAATCCACCACTCACGATTCCTACACCACCTAAAGATTGATTGAATGAGAATGTCTTGGGCATTAAGTCCGCCGGTGTACAAAAGTGCCTAACGTTATAAATAAATAAATAAAATAACCACCTTTTTTTAAATGTAACATATATTCAGTCAGACTCGGCAAACTAAAACATTATGAAGAAATATGAGCATTATGTTGCTTTTACTTCAAACAGCGAGCTTCTGTCCTACAAATATACATTGATTCCTTTTTAATTATGATATATTATAATTTTCGTACTTTTAAAAAGTGATTTCATCTTGATTTTCTTCAATGAGTTCCTTTATATGTTTCAGCTTTATTTTCAACGAACAATTAAAAAAAAAAAGGAATAACGAGCATATCAATTATATTTTCTATCCTTGGAAGTCTTTTTAAACTATGTACACATTATATTAATAGTTACATAATTGAACAATGAGTATTGTGTACCTTTTTAATCGGTGGAACCATGTATCTTTTGTGGGGTACCAAAAAAAAAGATGCCCTGTAAATATTTTCGTATTGCTATTATTTTCTCTGGGGATTACGGTCAACCATGCTACATAAGAGGGCCTGTCAACAGTCACAGATTGAGATATCAGGATCTTAAAAACAGCTATGTAAGTTAGGAAGTCAATATTTATAGGGTAAATTCGTAAAAAAAATAAGATAAATAAATGACTTACCTTGGTGGCGGTGGAGGCGGATCTCGTGACCTCCTCGGCAACAGTCGGGGACTATTCGGCGTACTTGCCGAATGCCCCGCTCCACTGTGGTCCGTAAACCGCGCGAGAGGGTCAAAAATCTGCGACAACCGCCGCGCCCTCTCCTCAGACATTTTAACACTCACAAACACAAACACAACACTTAATAATTATATCATTTAATCACATCACGGCTCAGTACTGTCACAGTCACAAATGACTATTTCGAATGGTCCGAATGATTCAAACTGCGGAAGTGGTTATCGTGCGCCGCTGACAGATGGCGCTGTAGATGACGCAGGATTTGGCGAGCAATCCCAGCCGCCATGTTGGTGCGTCTGATCTTTTTCACAGTTTAATTTGCCTTTGCGACGCCACCCGCTGTATTTAGAACGCTGAAAAATAAATAATAAGTATTAGTTGACGTGTCATCGTTATCTGGTTCGATAGGGAAGCGAGGAAGGTAACGCAATTAGCCATGGGTTTTGGAGACATTTTGGATCGGTGTCAAAATATTGTCGACAGTTAGTCGTTAACTAAACGACTGTATTTCTATTGCATTTCGACACTTAATATATTTGGTTTCCAATTACTTGTCTAATTAGAAAGAATAATTTTGCAATAGATTTAAAATTATATTTATAATAAAACTGTTGTGTATTTCTACACGGTCATTAAAACACTGTAATGTCACGTTTTGTAACTTGATTTATAAGCCACATTAAAAGATGTAAATAAAAAATAACACTAGCTTATAGTAGACCAGTTTAACGAGTCCCATAAAACTATTTTCAGCTGCATTAGCATAGTACAAAATTGTTACACCGACTTTTGTTTTTTTTTTTTTCTATTCCTGTTACATGACTTGTAAATAAATTACAATTTCTTTTAGATAACCTCAAAAGAAGAATTTTTACGGATAGTTTATTTTTAACGACCACGCTTGTGTAACATTTAGAACAGGCGTTGTAATCCTTGATATAATTAAATAAATTTCAGTAATGAACCTAAATAACGCAGTTAGCTGTAGCGTCATAAATTGCGTTATTTAGTTTCATCACTAAGTAGACATAATGTACATGCATGAAAGTGAAAACGAAACGCTTTGAGATACGCATTAACTCGTAATTGGTAATTAGTTGCAAATTGGGTTTAAATAATGCATTGATCGCAAAAAACGATACAAAATTTAGCAACGAAAGAACCACTCGTACATACATCTCAGGGTTTCCCAAAAAAAAACAAAGTGTTTTGTCCTAACGCATACCCTCTAATTATATTTGAATAGTGTCCAAACACTTGTAAATAAAATTTCATATGCTTAGAATTAAAGCAACCCGTGCCGACTTGCATCGATACATCTCAGTACTTGCATACTTTGGCGAGTCAGAGGTTACGCATCGAAGTGTGTGTTATTCCTTCCTTGTTTTTATAGTAAACACATTTTCGTTCAGTCAAGATAGAAATGGCATTATACAGTTCTAAACCAGGGATATTTTAATAGGGAATGTAACAATAAAACTACCTTCTAATGGAGAACTTGGCAGTTCTGTTCCATAACATTCGTGAAATTAATTTAAGTGTCAATGAAAGCGTGACTCTATTTGTGAGTGCATTCATTATTAGGAACTAAATTTTAAGGAATTAAATTTACCTAACTAAATTAAAAACCTAATTTGCTCATACTAAGTTTGGAGAGATTTAGACATATTCGAGAAGCGTCGACAAGAATCAGTTACAAACTTTGATAATTTGTTCGACATTGCACATACCGATTCACTTCAACTAATAAAGATAACTGTAGATAGGATGTTCTTACAGCACCAGAGAGAGCCAGGTCGACCTGGTTATTTTCCTGGAGTGAACAAAAAGTTAAACAGTAAAGATTCCTCTTTACCGTTTAACTAGTAAAAAAGTAGGCCTTTGATACATCTAGGAACAAAAACGTGGGGCTAGGTTTTATGTTGGTATCTCTGCTTCGAAGTCATCTTATTAAGGTTTAAAGAACTTTATTAATACTCAAGAACGTTACAGTCCACTTAGTGAGCATAATATAAAATAAGAATTTTAACTTTTGTTTCTGAAGAAATAGATTAGATTAACAAGACAATTTGGGCACCTCAACCGGGAGCGCTGCGTCCCATACTAATAACACTCTAATTAAAAAGTTTTTTAACACTCCAAAGTTGGTAGCAGATTTAGATATGTGTCAGTTAACTGTAAACACAGACTGTTTGGCATTGTGTCAATAGTAGTCTATTGAGGCACTTACACTCAACACGACAAATTTCCCATTAGCAAGTCTTCCATTCAAAAAATTCGTACGGAAAAAGACAGATTTGTAAAAAATGTAGACCGAGAAATACAAGAAATTTGTAAGTTTTCTAGGGAAACTACACAATATACGCTAAGAAGCATCCCCTCCAAATAAGATCTTACTGACTCACTTTACGAGTCGTTGATGACTTCGCTGAAAGCAAGTCCTTGTTCAATCATTTCAAAATTGATTACAGTTATCCAAAGAGTCCTGTCGTACTTCATGGTCTAATAATACTACTTTTCAACAATTAAGAAACTGGTGATGAGATGTATACCCTGACTCTAATAAGTGTAATAAATAACATTCCTTTAAGAATAAACATAAAACAAATGTATGATATAAATATTAAATAAATAAATTCTGTATAATAAGTTTATTTAGTGAATAATAATTATGTTACGAAATGTCCTGAACAAAATTCATTCAACAATTTCCTAAAAGTTTGACTTCAATTCGGCACGGGTTATCGTTATCTGATACCAATAATATTTTTTATTTTAGTATTTGGAGTCATTAAAAAAAATATAAAGGATGTCCGACCGTCCATCCCGTGGGTGTCGTGAGGGCCGACTAAGGGAGTAAACTACGCAGGACAACAGCACTGCAAAGAAAAGAAAACTTGAAACAAACCCTATACCAACGCGTCTGGCCAGCATGGTATAGTAGGCCAAAACCTCCTTTCTAGGGAGATGGCTATGTCCAGCAGTGGACTAATAAAGGTTGATGATGATGATGATAAAGTGTGTGCTACCTACTTAAAATCGTTTTTTTTTTTTGTTCTTTTACTGTCTATTGTCTGTTTTGCCTGGGACACCCTTATCCACAAATTTAAAATATTACTACAATTTTGACTAATACCATATCATACAAGCAACTTCACAGAATTCAGACAATTGTGAAAATTTTAGGGAAAAGTCAATAAACAACCAATTACACAGCAAAAATAAAATAACCAAGTTTAATTTGACACTACCAACTTACCCTTACTGTAATACTAACGGACTAATGTATACATATACTAAAACTGCACTTAAATTAATAAAAGCACTATCAAAAGTTGTAAAAGAACCAAATAGTTTATCGCAAGTTGTGAACGCTGAAGTATACTAACTACCAATGAATAACAGGGAGACTCTTTGATATTCAAAATTAGTTCGTCTCACCGGTTTCAATACAGACAGTGGTTTTCAAAGGGTAAACTACGGTTGAATAAATTATCATTATCGATGGACACCAGACGGTATCATAATTTAGCTTGAAGATGGGTGAATGTTTATCAAGACATTCTAAACGAAGAACATTTATAAAGCTAGCTCGACATCGTGCAAGCCATTTAAGCCTGTAAAACTAAATGGGACACAGGATTACATTATAAACAATAACGGGCTTTGTATAATTTACAATATTTGAAGTGCGCAAATAAAAAGTTGTCGACAACAACAAAAAACAAAGAAAGGAAAAAGGGAAGTCAAAACAAAAATATTTGAAGATTTACTTTCTATTTTAAAATGGTTAGAGTGTAGCCGCTTTTCTTCTCAGGCGGACTACTCACCGGCTGACCCAGTGGAGAGATTCAAGAGATTACCTCAGGGCGCCTTGTATGAGAATAGAAGTGTGTGCGTGTGGGAAGCCTATGGGACTCTTTAGAGGAAAACAACTTACACCTCAGTTATACATACATGTATATTTCAAAAAAAAGTAGATCAAATTTACAATAAGAAATTAAATAAATTAAACAGTGTGGGTACAAGAAAAAGAAAAAAAAACCGCAGCGGAGCTCGTTAGAGCCGAGCTGATGGTGCTCGGTGCCTCCTCGTCGTCCCTCCAGGAGGTTACTTCCTCTTCCGCCCGAGTCGGCTATTTATATTAGATATGGATAAAAGTTTAACAATTTGCAATTATAAGTTTAAGTACGTAACTCTTGGGTACGGCTGTCCGCTTGCGTCGTGAGCCGCGCAATCACCAGCTTTGCCAGAGGGTACCGAGAAACTTGAGTCTGAACCAGAAGGCCACAAAAGAGCAAGCACGCCGTCTGAGACTGACCGTCTTGACCCCGAAATCTGGGACCCTACGAATGGATTAGCACTCATATAATTAATCAGGTTCCAGAAACAATTAGGTTTAAGAAGAATTAAGACCATACTCACCACTCTTGTGGGTAGAATTGAACAGATATTATATTACGAAAAACAAATCACACAGCAATCAAAACCCTATTTAAGATCGGAAGGCACGAGATAGCAGAGTGTCTCCCGTGGCAGAAAGCCGGACTTATATATCCTCGCTTCAGGAATCTTTCAGAAATTAACCCTTCCTCATCACTTCACTTTGACATTTAAATTGAGAAAGAAAACAACGCTAACAAAATCAAAAGTAACTTGCTTTCCACCATAGCTGAACACTTTCAATACCTATACAATTTGTCATGACAGATTACCAGAACAGATTAAAAAAGTAAGTCTTTTTAATTAATCTATCATGTCTCAAACCAACGCCATCTAGTGGTCCGAAAGTGAACAAAGGAGATCAATACCGTAGCTACAAACTACTTTAGATAAATCAACAACAAAGCGATGCGGCCAACAGGTGTCGCTTTTATCAATACCGTACGCATTACTAATATACCAAAAAAATAACTGTTACAAGAGACAAAGTGGAGAACGAAGGTTTAAAATAGACCGAAAATGATTCGGTCTACTAGCTAACAAATAAATATTCCAGAATAAAATGTTCTTAGTAATGTGGAATTATAAAATAAAAAAAGACAGTGGTAACTATGACAGTAAATAAAAGTGAAAATTTCGCAGAATACGC